TACAATTAAGGACTTTAGCAAACTGCTAATTCTCTTAGAGACTTTAACAACTAAAGTCCAATAAACCACCTTAAAATCAAGGCGTATTTTACTAAAATAATATTTAGCAGTAAACAATTACCTTACAATTAAGGCACATTTAACTAAAGTATCCTTACAATTAAGGACTTTAGCAAACTGCTAATTCTTAGGGACTTTAACGACTAAAGTCGAATAAACCACCTTAAAATTAAGGCGTATTTTACTAAAATAATATTTAGCAGTAAACAATTACCTTACAATTAAGGCACATTTAACTAAAGTATTCCTTAAAATTAAGGACTTTAGCAAACTGCTAATTCTTAGGGACTTTACAACTAAAGTCGAATAAACCACCTTAAAATTAAGGCGTATTTTACTAAAATAATATTTAGCAGTAAACAATTACCTTACAACTAAGGCACATTTAACTAAAGTATTCCTTACAATTAAGGACTTTAGCAAACTGCTAATTTCTTTGGGACTTTTAACGACTAAAGTCCAATAAACCACCTTAAAATTAAGGCGTATTTTACTAAAATAATATTTAGCATTAAACAATTACCTTACAACTAAGGCACATTCAACTAAAGTATTCCTTACAATTAAGGACTTTAGCAACTGCTAATTTTTACGGACTTTACGACTAAAGTCGAATAAACCACCTTAAGTTTAAGGCGTATTTTACTAAAATAATATTTAGCAGTAAACAATTACCTTACAATTAAGGCACATTTAACTAAAGTATTCCTTACAATTAAGGACTTTAGCAAACTGCTAATTCTTACGGACTTTACGACTAAAGTCGAATAAACCACCTTAAAATTAAGGCGTATTTTACTATAATAATATTTAGCAGTAAACAATTACCTTACAATTAAGGCACATTTAACTAAAGTATTCCTTACAATTAAGGACTTTAGCAAACTGCTAATTCTTAGGGACTTTACAACTAAAGTCGAATAAACCACCTTAAAATTAAGGCGTATTTTACTAAAATAATATTTAGCAGTAAACAATTACCTTACAATTAAGGCACATTTAACTAAAGTATTCCTTACAATTAAGGACTTTAGCAAACTGCTAATTCTTACGGACTTTACGACTAAAGTCGAATAAACCACCTTAAAATTAAGGCGTATTTTACTAAAATAATATTCAGCAAAAAACAATTACCTTACAATTAAAGCACATTTAACTAAAGTATTCCTTACAATTAAGGACTTTAGCAAACTGCTAATTCTTAGGGACTTTACAACTAAAGTCGAATAAACCACCTTAAAATTAAGGCGTATTTTACTAAAATAATATTTAGCAGTAAACAATTACCTTACAATTAAGGCACATTTAACTAAAGTATTCCTTACAATTAAGGACTTTAGCAAACTGCTAATTCTTAGGGACTTTACAACTAAAGTCCAATAAACCACCTTAAAATTAAGGCGTATTTTACTAAAATAATATTTAGCAGTAAACAATTACCTTACAATTAAGGCACATTTAACTTAAGTATTCCTTACAATTAAGGACTTTAGCAAACTGCTAATTCTTAGGGACTTTACGACTAAAGTCAAATAAACCACCTTAAAATTAAGGCGTATTTTACTAAAATAATATTTAGCAGTAAACAATTACCTTACAATTAAGGCACATTTAACTTAAGTATTCCTTACAATTAAGGACTTTAGCAAACTGCTAATTCTTAGGGACTTTACAACTAAAGTCGAATAAACCACCTTAAAATTAAGGCGTATTTTACTAAAATAATATTTAGCAGTAAACAATTACCTTACAACTAAGGCACATTTAACTAAAGTATTCCTTACAATTAAGGACTTTAGCAAACTGCTAATTCTTTGGGACTTTACGACTAAAGTCCAATAAACCACCTTAAAATTAAGGCGTATTTTACTAAAATAATATTTAGTATTAAACAATTACCTTACAACTAAGGCACATTCAACTAAAGTATTCCTTACAATTAAGGACTTTAACAAACTGCTAATTCTTAGGGACTTTAAGACTAAAGTCGAATAAACCACCTTAAAATTAAGGCGTATTTTACTAAAATAATATTTAGCAGTAAACAATTACCTTACAATTAAGGCACATTTAACTAAAGTATTCCTTACAATTAAGGACTTTAGCAAACTGCTAATTCTTAGGGACTTTACAACTAAAGTCGAATAAACCACCTTAAAATTAAGGCGTATTTTACTAAAATAATATTTAGCAGTATACAATTACCTTACAATTAAGGCACATTTAACTTAAGTATTCCTTACAATTAAGGACTTTAACAAACTGCTAATTCTTAGGGACTTTACGACTAAAGTCGAATAAACCACCTTAAAATTAAGGCGTATTTTACTAAAATAATATTTAGCAGTAAACAATTACCTTACAATTAAGGCACATTTAACTAAAGTATTCCTTACAATTAAGGACTTTAGCAAACTGCTAATTCTTAGGGACTTTACAACTAAAGTCGAATAAACCACCTTAAAATTAAGGCGTATTTTACTAAAATAATATTTAGCAGTAAACAATTACCTTACAATTAAGGCACATTTAACTAAAGTATTCCTTACAATTAAGGACTTTAGCAAACTGCTAATTCTTTGGGACTTTACGACTAAAGTCCAATAAACCACCTTAAAATTAAGGCGTATTTTACTAAAATAATATTTAGTATTAAACAATTACCTTACAACTAAGGCACATTCAACTAAAGTATTCCTTACAATTAAGGACTTTAACAAACTGCTAATTCTTAGGGACTTTAAGACTAAAGTCGAATAAACCACCTTAAAATTAAGGCGTATTTTACTAAAATAATATTTAGCAGTAAACAATTACCTTACAATTAAGGCACATTTAACTAAAGTATTCCTTACAATTAAGGACTTTAGCAAACTGCTAATTCTTAGGGACTTTACGACTAAAGTCGAATAAACCACCTTAAAATTAAGGCGTATTTTACTAAAATAATATTTAGCAGTAAACAATTACCTTACAATTAAGGCACATTTAACTAAAGTATTCCTTACAATTAAGGACTTTAGCAAACTGCTAATTCTTAGGGACTTTACGACTAAAGTCGAATAAACCACCTTAAAATTAAGGCGTATTTTACTAAAATAATATTTAGCAGTAAACAATTACCTTACAATTAAGGCACATTTAACTAAAGTATTCCTTACAATTAAGGACTTTAGCAAACTGCTAATTCTTTGGGACTTTACGACTAAAATCCAATAAACCACCTTAAAATTAAGGCGTATTTTACTAAAATAATATTTAGCATTAAACAATTACCTTACAACTAAGGCACATTCAACTAAAGTATTCCTTACAATTAAGGACTTTAACAAACTGCTAATTCTTAGGGACTTTAAGACTAAAGTCGAATAAACCACCTTAAAATTAAGGCGTATTTTACTAAAATAATATTTAGCATTAAACAATTACCTTACAACTAAGGCATATTTAACTAATGTATTCCTTACAATTAAGGACTTTAACAAACTGCTAATTCTTAGGGACTGTACGACTAAAGTCGAATAAACCACCTTAAAATCAAGGCGTATTTTACTAAAATAATATTTAGCAGTAAACAATTACCTTACAACTAAGGCACATTTAACTAAAGTATTCCTTACAATTAAGGACTTTAACAAACTGCTAATTCTTAGGGACTTTACGACTAAAGTCGAATAAACCACCTTAAAATTAAGGCGTATTTTACTAAAATAATATTTTAGCATTAAACAATTACCTTACAACTAAGGCATATTTAACTAAAGTATGCCTTACAATTAAGGACTTTAACAAACTGCTAATTCTTAGGGGCTTTACAACTAAAGTTGAATAAACCACATTAAAATTAAGGCATTATTACCTCCTAAGTATTTAAAATCATAAATGTATAATAACAATAATGGATGCAAGAACATTATGTATAAAAAAAAAAAAAAAAAAAAAAAAAAAAAAAAAAATATTTCACTAGCAATTTTCAAGTAAATGTGCAAACATAGTCCTTACAATAATTTGATAATATATAACTATCACATTAAACCACAATTCATATCAGTCCCAAGTTCACTTTGGGACTAAGATGTAAGGTAAATAATTGTCTTCTTTACTTGAGATCCAGGAAATTTCACTTTTCACTTGTTGGTAGCTTATTTAAAGTCGATCCGGAATTTATGATTTCAATAGCTTCAATACAGCTCCACGAATTTTGTAATATTTAATCATGCCAGCAAAATTCAAATGAACGCCATCTCTAAAGATATTTGTTGTTTGATTTTTTATTCCTTAATTTTCCATTAAAGTACTCGAGGAAATTTTGTAGCTCCTTTTTAATATTGGCATGTTATCCGCTATACCCTAAAATCCGCTACTGCCTAAACAACTGTATCTCCTGTATCTCTGGTATAAATAACGTGGCCTAGGTCTGAGAATAAACTGCAACACCACAACCTCCGCGATTTTGTATCGAACTTGAAATGTTGCGAAAATGTTGACTAATTGTACGATAAAGCATTTAATTTTTGGATGCAGTTCTGATACACTCAGTTCTCAACAGTTAACGTGGTGTTTATTGTAAAACTTTCCTCCATTTATACTTCGGAAATGTACATCTGGGGCCGGGCTAGCATCGCCACCAACGTTAAAGATTTGTTATTGTTACCCTTTTGTCGAAGAAATCGTTCCAACCAGTGTATATGAGATGTTCCTAATATTAGTATAGACATTTTACTAACATAGAATTGAAGAGTTAATCATCCCCCGGTGTTTTTATACACATTATGCAGTAATCCAATCGCAAAACGTACTGTAGACACAGATTCCTTTGTTTATAAAAATGTGAAAACAAAGACAGTCAAATTACCAAACTGTGGCAAACATTCCTACAGTGTCGCCGGATAAGTTGTAACCTTCCTGTACTAATGAGCGATCAAACAAAGTATAATTACCGTGTATAAAAGCAATTTATTGAAAATTGTTATGAATTATTTCTTCTTCTAAAATGGCGGACTCAATCAGCATCAATTATCCGGTACGTTACGATACCGAAATCAACTTGATTTCGGTAAAGTTACCGAAATCAACTTTTCATTACCGAAATCAACTTGTAAAATCACAATTAAGCGTTTTATTATATTTTTTCCATTATAATATATTACAATAGATTAAGTTTGACTTTCATGCAAAAAATCAGTTCGAAATAATAAATAATTATGAAATTAGAAACAAATAACTAAATATCAAGATTACTTCCCTGATTTGTCACGTTACAATACCGAAATCGGCTTGTAAAATCACAATTTAAAAAATGAAAGCATTTTATTATATTTTTTTTCTATTATAATCTATTACAATAGGTTTAGTTTGACTTTCATGCAAAAAATCAGTTCGAAATAATTAATAATTATGAAATTAGAAACAAATATCTAAATATCAACAATACTTCCCTGATTTGTCACGAACCGAAATATGTTACCATACAGAAATCGGCTTGTAAAAGTTAAAATAAACATTTTAATAGATCTTGTTTTATTTGGCGCAACGGACGCAACGGGCGCAACGGAGATATTTTTTTAGAAAAACCGGCACAACGCTTTTTTTAAAGTCAATGTGCTATATTTAAGCATCTAAAATGATTGTTTAGCACTATAAAGTAAGTATGTTTTAAAATGTTTCATAAATTGTATATGTTTAATTGCACTGAAGGGTTATATGCCTGGCGAAATGGAAATTTCATGGCGCAACGGAGATATTTTTTTTAGAAAAAACCGACACAACGCCTTTTTTTAAGTCAATATGCTGAATTTGAGCATCTAAAATGATTGTTTAGCACTTTCAAGTAAGTATGTTTTAAAATGTTTCATAAATTGTATATGTTTACACTGAAGGATTATATATGCCTGGCGAAATCCTTTTGTTTATGAAATATATTAAGTTAAGGACAGGAGACTCGATGAAGTGTTTACAATGTTTTAAAGTTTATAAAGCTTATTCAAACACAAAATTTGAGATAAGGAACATGTATACCCAAAAGTTAGAAGAAGCAGCGCTGATCAATATGACAGTAATTTCTAAAATTAAAAATTTATAGAACAGAAAAAATAGTTTATTTGACATTAAAGATACGTGTATATATATTTGTAGGGGGAAAAGTTTGATTCACTAATATCACAAACAATAGCAAAAAATTAAAAAAAAAAGATAGTGCCAATTTGTGAGGCTGGGATCGAATTTACCATCTTTGAGGTTAGTTTGACAGAAAAGGATTATAGTTGTAGGGCTGCATTTAGCAATTTTGGGACCAGATTGAGCATATTTGGGACCGAATAAACTTATGACCGGATTGACTATATTATTCAGTTTTTTCATCGTATAATTTTGGCGTACATACTGTAATGCCTGGTATAACCATGTTTGTTTAAATTTTTCTTATTTAATGTTAATGATTACACCGCTGATCCATAATCCTGTAATGTCATGTTTACATGACTTCATATAAAAATATTACAGGGAAAATACTGTTTACATTACTGAATTATAATTGTCCGTTTTAATTAAATTGTACATGTTTGTATCAATAATTTCTTGGCACAATATATTAAGGTCACCAAAGTTTTCACATTAAAACAGTAAAATTACGAAATGTTATTATTATTTATCGATGTAAACTATAAAAAAATACCTACACTTTGAAATTGAAATGGCCATTTAATAATAAATGACGGAAAAACATATAATACAATGTTGATATGAAAGTTATCAAACTAACATAAAATTGTGAAATGGCCATTTAATAATAAATGACATATAAACATATAAAACAATGCTGATATGAAAGTTATAATATAACATAAAATTGTATACAAAGCAAGCAAACATTTCTGAAAAATGTATATAAAATTATATACACACATATCCCGAAAAATTATCAAAGGTTGGGTTCTAAGAATATTGCCTTGCCTAAAACTGTGTATGAAATTAATATACACACATATCTTGAAGTGAAAAGAAAAATCATTTGTATATAAAATTATAAACAAACACAAAACATTTTTGATGTGTATAAGCTTGTCAAAAATTGAATACTGAATGTGGGTGGGATGGTGGGTATTGAAAATTGTTATGAATTATTTCTTCTTCTAAAATGGCGGACTTAATCAGCATCAATTATCACATTGTACTTACTCATAACGATAACCTTAGAGTACTTACTAGTACGGCTTTTTCGAACCCAATATATTTCGACCTATGACTAAAGACCTAATGAAACCCACCATCAAGCTTGTAAGTGACCATAAAAAACATTTATTTTGCAATAAATTAAGTTTTATCACTTTGGTTGTATTATATTCCTTGTATCTATAAATTTGCTGTCCGTGGTCGTTCCGTTTCAGCGAAAAACATTTCTGTATGTAGTCCACGCATGCGCAATACGATTCCTCCACTTTGTAAACTTTTAGAATAAAATTATTATTTGTTTTACGTCCTGTTATCTGGCAAGTTTTGTAGGTATAATTGTTCCCAATGGTTGTAAATAAAATAATATTGCATAGTTTTTATTCGGTGATTTCCGTAAGTTTTTCCTGGCGTCTCCTCCTGAATTTCTCACGGAACTGATGATTCGTAAGTTTTCGTGAGGAAACGACCCTATAAATACGAAGGTATCAGCGTTTCCTCACTCCACGTACCCCGTGACCAGCTGTCATTTGGCGTAGATCCATTCATATTGCTGTAACCAGACATCGATATACTTGGTAATATTCTATATACTATCCTAAATTTAAAAGCCTATTTAAAACGGTTTTTTAACCGTTTTTGTCCTATTATCA